TCTTAATACGTGGGAAGCCCTTGAAACACATAATAATGATCAAGTCAAGTCTTTGGCCATCCTCTTCGATGGATAACCGTGGTGTTTTGCAGTGGCCGGCCAACCGATTCCTCCTCTTCTACTATGGCCGTCGTAGGCCTTGGAAATTTTTTTCGTGTGTATATAAAAATAGATTTACAACTTTGGTTTAGTATACATATTTTGAGATCTTTACACACATCTATACATAATATGTGTATAGATCTCAAAATATGTATACAAAACCAAGTCATGAAACTTAATTTATATGAGTGTGTATGTCTTTTAACATGGTTTTGGTTTAACATGGTTTTGGTTTAATTTGGATTTGGGGGCTTTGGAGCTAAACGCACCCGTTTCTTTCTCCAAAAACCCTCGGATTTTGAGCAGTTCTGGGTTTGTCATCTATGCGCTTTAAGTGATTTGAGCAGTTCTTGGTTAATCAATTTGATCAGTTCTGGGTTTATCGATTTGAGTACTTTTGGGTTCAAAATCTCTGACTTTTGTGCCATTTATGACTTTTAAGCATTTTGAGCAGTTCTGTGTTTGTCATCTATATGCTTTTTTAGCTCTGATTATGAGCAGTTCTGTTATTTTTGACTGTTGAATGTATTTTGTTTGGCAGGACTTTGCTGGTCTGCGTCTATTACTGCGCAAGCCACTGCATTGCTTCGTCTACACGGCACTTTACTGTTCGATATGCCTCTCTCTATCCAGCACGTTGTTACATGGATGTCTTTTCATGGTCTTATAGTAGAAGGTGAAGGCGGAGCATTGCGCGATTTGATGACTGTCCATCCATTTCTCTTCTATGAGGGGTATGTAGCAGAGGCATTCTACCCTACTACCTGGAGCCTTAATGATGAATTACCTCTTTTTCCGGTAAAAGATTTTCGTTGCTGATTTTGTGTTATTTAGTTTTTTATTTTTCTCTCAATCATTATGGATTTCGTTGCTGATTTGGTGATTTGGTTTACAACTTATTGATTTGTTATTTTTTATATAGATTGGTACTCCAAGATTCGGAATCACTGATTTTGCTCGACTCTCTCTCACTGCTGAAAACGCTTCAACATATGAACAACAGTTGATACTGCATCTTGAGCATTCTCCAATTACATGTGTTTCACCGTCATATCCATCCTTTGGTGCTTACAATGGACTTGTAAGTAGTAGATTCTTGCTTATGAATAGTTGTAGTGTTTGATTTGCTGATAATAGTGTTTGAGTTGCTGATAATAGTTAATTCTTTTTCAGGGTATTTGGTATCCTACACCTGCTGAGGTGACTGCTGGATTTCGTTTCCTCCATGCCATGATGTTGTCCGGTCATGGAGTTGATGAATTCGGGGTTGGCTATTGGGAATTGCAACAGACCCGAGGACCGGCTTATGGTTATGGCGGGTTTGTTCGTATTGCGAGACACTTAAAACTAATCCGGAATGCGTTTTTGATGGGTGTTAATGGAGTTGGGTACTGTTATCGTACTTTTGACAGAATGATGTTGCGTAACACATCAATTGCATATGGACGTGTTCAGATGTACCCGTACCTGCATTTTAACTGATCTCTCATCTCTCCTGGATCATGTTATGTACACGGTATGGAACTGATTTCTCTTGATCATTGCTATGGGTTGTAGTACTTTGGGTTTGTGTATTGTTGAAGTACTTTTTTGTGGATTCTATCATTACTTATGTTATGATTACTTGGTCTTATTTTGTCTGCAATTTCTCTCATTCCATATCCTTTCTAATCTCTCTCAAATCTCTGTTAGAAAGAAATTACATCAGCAATTATGTTGCAACTGATCGAACAGAGACGGGTCTTGTACTGGGTCTTTATGTCGGCCAAATTCATATAGGGTGCAATTGGGTTTTCCTTTATGGTTCTTCTAATGGGCCAATAGGTTCTTATTTATGGCGTTAATTTATGGGCTGCGTTTTTTAGAGTACACTTGTGTAATATAAGTGCTCTTGCCAAATTTAAATGAATGCATCAAAGTTTCCTATATGATAAATAAATAATGGAGATTCCATTTGCACTTAATTTGTGCCCCAATCAAGAACGCCAACATGAGATTTGTTTATATATTTAACCCCGAAAACAAGTACCCACCCACGCCTTAAATAGAGGTTTTACGAGGGGAGCATCTGCAAAACGTCAAATGCAATGGTCCACTTCAATGGGATCAGGTAAGATCTCGGAATCTAATCAGATAAAGTAGAAAAGAGAATTTCTCCTCCTATAGACCGAGACATATTAGTCCCAAAATCATAAGCTAGTAAGTATTATAATTTTAATCTCGAAACCAACTTTCAGAAAACGGCGTAATCTTATCTACAAGCCAACCACTTTTTTTTGTTTCTTTTGCAATGTCCAATACATAATCATATGATCGTTTTAAACCGGTTCATATAAGACTTACTCTAACATAACATGACCGATCAAAAACCATCATTCCCCATGGGTTTTGAGAACAAATTGGCCTAAAACATGTGCAACACATAATTAAAGTGTTTTTAGAACACAAAATCCATATTGTACTTTGAAGGGATCTATGCTTACTCTCCTAATGTCCTAGAAACATAGATCCAAGGGTGGCTATAAACATGGACCCAACAACACCAAGACAATTCGATAACGTTTACTACAAAAACTTGCGACAAGGCAAAGGATTGTTCACGTCTGATCACGATTTGTTCACCCATCGTAGGTCAAAGCCAACCGTTGACTTATGGGCTAGTAATGAACAATTGTTTAATCAAGCTTTTGGTAATTCCATGATCACGCTTGGTCGTGTTGGCCGTAATGGTAATATTCGTCGTCATTGTGGAGCTTTTAATGAGTTAATTAAAAATCTCTTTCTAGATTTTTCTTTTTCCTTTCTATTCATTTTTATTGGGGATGGGTGGGTCTCATGAAGCTTGTGTAGCTTCAATATAGAAAGATAATAAATCTCGATTTTGGGTTTCAGTTTGTATGATAGAATCTTATAGTGAGAATAAATTTGAGGGT